CTTTTTTAGACGTTGATTGATCGTGTTTCGGAATGCGCTCATGCCTTCAACTTCCACTCGGAATCGTAGAAGAGATTGAACGGGTATTAGGCCACCACAGTGATTCCCGGGCCCGGGCCAATACAAAGCAGTGGTACCTATTTTTTAAAGATAAGTCTCCTCCAGCTAGTCAACCACGGGGAATAAGAGATTAGGTTAGCTCGGAAATGTATCGATCCGGATTTGGTCCACGGACGATGAGCGTGGTAGTCCATCGCTTGGTGCTATTCCATCACCGCGCAACTTTGATAGAATTTAAATAAAACAGAATAGTATTAATAACTCGAAGTCCTTAAACATTCTCAACAAAATATGAGCTTTTAAGTTCGTCTAGAACAACGATAATGACCAATGTAACCACAAGAGCGCGTTAAACATTTCAACTGAATTCCTGTTGTAAAGGCTTCCAGCTCTTCGCAGTACTTCGACTTAGAAAAAATGAATAAATATCAGACAACGAACGTTTAAAAATCATTAAACTTCTAATCCTAGCCCTCAGTTGATATAAACAAAGTGGATAGCCCTTGCTCCTTCGCATTTTCACACGCCGCTTGCCCACCAACGTCATGCAACTTGAATTACGCTGCTAGGGGCCGGCACCAGGGCGGTCCCATAACGAAGTTCAGTCGTCAGTAATGCAAGTCGACAACTTTGTCATATGCCGCATTGCTGAACTTCGTCTATTCATCGGGTTATGCTGCTTAAGTACAATTTGTCTGAAGTAAGAGCTTTTCTTGAGGTCTTTCTTAGTCAACTAATTCGTTGTGATTCTTTTTTGTTGATATTTATACGCGGCTCGTGTTGATGACTAACCCGTTGTTTCGCCATCATCGGAGATATCGCCCCGATATGACTAGTGCACAGTATCATCACTAATCTGAATTTGTTACCATCTCTTTTGTAATTTTTTCTGATCTTTAGTATGCTATCATGACTAAGCACCACGCCGTTGACGAATGATATTTAAACAGGTACAATTATTAGTAAAACACTGTTATAGACAAGTCCGACTTTTCGAGGTATGGATGATCACCATTACCTTACAAGGCATAACTGCGGTGATCATGGTCTATCGGACTATAGAAGTACCCGTCTTAAAGGGATTAATTCCTCCGTGAGATTAACTTTATACAGTATCAGTGGTCATATGACGAGTTTATGATTTGTGTGCTACATTCTTAACTTTACATTACAGTTTCGGAATCAGAAAAAGGTAACAACGGTGCAAGTCGACAATGATTTCGATCCGAAGGGTAATCTTGGGGATGAATATCTTTGCGAATGCGAGGCTGTTCTTGATGTAAGTAATTTGATTTACTTTTTTCTCTTTTTTTTTNTTTTTTTTTCGCTCCGCTTTCGAAACATCGGAACGTTTCATAACACCGACGGGAATTTGGAAATTTAGTATAACTAACAACACTCACTCTTTGCTTCTAAATACTAGTAAGCTGTATTCCCCTATCTGTTTTTACTGGTGATTTGGACATTGTTATGAGGGATGCGGGAAAACTGTTGCAGGAGCCGCTAAATGATTCAGAAGTGTGCATCAGCTCTGTGAAAATTTTTCAATTCCAAATACCAAATACTTTTCAGAAATTCCTGAACTGGAACGAACATGAACAGCTCGATATTATGGAGCGAATTCTCAGTAAAATGAGCCACAACCAGTTGTTTGTCATGCAAAGATTCATTCAGCCTATGTTGCAACGTGACTTCATCGCATTGTTACCTCGTAAGACACGATTTCTTTTTTCAATTTTATGCTAATTTTTATTTTTATTTCCCTATAGACTTGACGTTATCATTGATGTTCCCATTTTCTTTTGCTTTTTGTGAAGTTATGGAAGGGATTCAAAGTAAGGGTGAGAAATCCACAAATGTAGGCCGAGGAAACTTGCTTCTTGTTGGGCATTCTCTTCGATTTCTGCCCTACTTACTGAACTAACTGAGGTTAAGGAGATACCCTATAATTGTTTTTTCAACCTAAGCAAATCAAAGGAAGTCAATTCATCCCCAGAGTGAGTGGTCTATAATAAAACCCAAAATGTGGCTACAAGTGTCCTACCGTTTCCTAGTGTCTCATGAATCAAGCCCTGTTGAGTGTTGATTGCTGCTAGGAATTACATGGGTGCAGTCATTTCTTCCAACAATCAGCTTTATTTCAGAGCACTTGGCCGAAATGATCCTTTCGAATCTTGACGCACGAACCCTGGCTGCCTGTGAGGCGGTTAGTACGAGCTGGAGAAGCGTCCTGGCAAGGGGACAGTTGTGGCGGAAACTGATAGAACGTAATGTTCGGAAGGATAACATGTGGCGTGGATTGAGCGAAAAGAAGAAGTGGTCAGTTTTTTCTTTACGTTTTTTTCTTGCTTTGTCCCATGTGCTCGGTTTTCACATCGTTTGCACTCTGTTCTTTTTTTTCTTCTTGGTTATCTCGCTGTTGTGCGCGATTACTTCTGGAGCATTCCTTTTCTTCTTGGATCCAATTACTGTTGACTCAGAATTAAGTGTTTTTTTTTTGCTTTGCTGTTCGCTCTACAGAAGCCACTAGATTGCTATAGTGTGTCGTTACGCTAACTTATATATGGCTTTTATAAAAATGAGTAGTAGTAGTAGTTATTGGTGGTCTGCGCAGACCTGAGCTCTTCTCCGGCTCTGTGCATTCGTTGTTTGAGAAGTCAAAAACAAATTTCCAAAATGATTTATAAACTTCGTTGTCTGGATCCTCTTGTATCTTCAAGGTCAAGGGAGTATCACTGTTGATCTAATTATTACTTTTAGGCGTAAGTATATCCTCGTGAGTAGGGATTGCGCAGCATGTGCGATCTGTGACTACTATCGAGTGAAATACGATAGACTGCGTGGTACACCTGAAATGGTCATGATGCAACATCGGTTCTACAGGTTTGTCATGTTTGTTTCTGTAGTCTCTCCCATTGTTGAGATGGTTGAGAAGTTCTGTCGTCGTCTTGTGCATATGTGTTAGCACCTGCGCGGAAAAATTTCCATTCTGACATCCGATCGGAAGCACGTACTATTGTGTTTGTTTAAAGTTACGTTTTATAGAGAGTTATTCCCGAAAGTGGTGGCCGACATTGACAAAATCGAATCCAACTGGCGCAAGGGAGTGTACAAATTGAGCAGTATTAACTGCCGTTCAGAGAACAGTAAAGGTTAGAGGATTGATTCATTTCCATGTCTTTAGTCGTGCTCTTTTTTTTTAATTCAATGCAAGGAAAAGGATGTTCTTTATTTCAGGCGTGTACTGTTTGCAATACGACGATGAAAAGATCGTGTCAGGACTACGTGACAACGTCATAAAGGTGAATCTTGCGCTGCCTGTTTTTCTTTATTTGTATCGACCTTTTTTGTGGGTGGTACTTTATCCACTTGCTAGCGAAGCTATTTTTTTCTAGTCATCTTATTTGAAAAGTAATGACTTCGAATAATTTAAAAACTACGTGATCAATATTCGATGCCCAGGTTTGAGGAAAGATGAACATGAATTCATTTAAAAGAACATGAACATGAATTCATTCAAAAGTTTTTCTCAAAAATTTCGCATTGTGAAAGTATAAGCTAGTTTTATTTTTTTTTNTTTTTTTTTGGCTCACGAATTTTGCAATTCTGGAAAAAACAGGTAGTACTGGTGCAAAGGCATAATAGTAAGAAGAATGATATGTGAATTGCATGAATTCCCAGGAGTAGTAGTCTTTTAAATTTCAATATGTTTAGGTATGGAATCGGGCAGATTTGAGCTGTGAACGGGTGCTATCTGGTCATACGGGTTCCGTATTGTGTCTTCAATACGATGAAAGAGTAATAATATCGGGTGAGTATGTTGGTAACTAGGATATTTTTTTGTAGACCATGAAGTTCTTTACCGTTCGTACCTTTCCACATAATTTTGGACACGTTGTTCAGGTTCCTCTGACGCCACAGTCCGTGTCTGGGATGTCGCAACGGGAGAGTGCTTGAATACATTGATTCATCACTGCGAAGCTGTACTACATTTGAGATTCAACGATGGAATTATGGTCACATGGTATGCTTATCAACATTAATCCTTGTCTGGTCCCTTTTTTCTGCTTACAGTACCTCTGCTGTTTTTTGAGAATACTTCCTGAAAAGACTTTCCTGCCTCCTCCGAACACTTAGGCAGCATCGTTGCTGGTGATGATGTAGCGTAAGCATTCGGAGTTCAAATGCACGCATGTAGCTTCGGTAGAAACCTTACAGCCTGTGACAACAGATGGACCAGTTCTAGTTGGCATTAATAAAACTGGTTTCGGTTTACAGAGTGTTTACGTCATCCCTTGTCAAGTTGTTTTATTCAGCTCGAAAGATCGTTCGATTGCGGTATGGGATATGGTGTCACCGAGGGAAATTAACCTCCGACGGGTCCTTGTTGGACATCGTGCAGCAGTGAATGTCGTCGATTTCGATGACCGATATATAGTCAGCGCATCTGGGGATCGAACAATCAAGGTAATTGTGCTGTTTGAAGGTTTTCACTCAGAGAACCAGGTTTCCGAATCTATTGATTCACTATTTACTTCATTTGATTTGCGTGGTCTCACTTTTCTGCTAATCCTGTTAGAAGAGTACCTTTGACAATTCATTGAAAACAGGAAGTCCATCAAGGAAAAGGAGAAAGGAGATGATGGGGTAAAGAATATATAGAAATCATGATGTTTTCAGGTGTGGTCTGCCGATAATCTGGAGTTTGTACGTACTCTTTCCGGTCACAAGCGTGGCATAGCCTGTTTACAGTATCGAGGCAGACTTGTCGTATCTGGTTCTAGCGACAATTCTATTAGGTAAAGTCGTTGTCGTGAAAGGATTGATCACCATTAAACTTTGCTGTTCAAGGTTGTGGGATATTCATTCGGGTGTTTGCTTGCGAGTATTGGAAGGCCACGAAGAGTTGGTGCGATGCATTCGATTTGATGACAAACGTATCGTATCCGGTGCTTATGATGGGTAAGTGTATTGGTGATGTATTCCATCAACAGATGAAGCTTCGCTCAAGGCTATTTCACTGATTAATCCTGTTTTAGTAAGATTCGTGTTTGGGATCTGGAAGCAGCTCTAGATCCTCGTTCTTCGCCAAGTTCGCTGTGCCTTAGCACTTTGGTGGTAAGTTTCTTTCTTATGTTTTTGCTTTCTGGCCCTACTAATCTTTAAGAATTTCTTTTTGGATTATTATATGCCCGAAGGCACTCTTGTCAAAAGTTCTTTGACCGAGTGAAAAACCTTAGGACACTTCTAACTTGTTCATAACATTATTAAAAGTAAATCTTCGTATAAGGTTGAATTAGGTTGTTGTTATAACAACCTAAATCAACCTTATACGAAGATTAACTTTGTTGTTGTTTGTGGTATGATAGCTCTGCGATCAAACTAAGAACCTAATTGATTTCATATAAGTCAGTTTACCAAAATAATTGATTTTTCAGCAACACACTGGACGCGTGTTCCGTCTTCAGTTCGACGATTTCCAAATTGTCAGCAGCTCCCATGATGACACAATCCTCATCTGGGATTTTCTTGTTGAGCCGGATGTCCCACCGTCGCCTCCGACCACATCCACTGATCCGTTATTGGAGCCCTCAATGGGATCGGTAGCGATTCCCTCAAGTTCCACAGAGCGAACTTCTGGAGGTGGCGGTGATGGTCCCAGCCCTCCAGGGAGCCCTAAATTGCCGATATACGCGCACCCTGGTCCCAGCACGTCGTATGGGGCATTGTTCGAACCATTTGTGGATAGCGATGCTGTCGGAACGGCTCTAAGGCAGTACGAAGTGAATCTCCCAACGGTGAGTTTTTGAAGTGACTTGGTTCAATACTATAGTACAGTTTTTCATTGTTTCCGGTAAACTTTAAATTTGCTTTCTTTTTGTGGAATTGGGGCCGAGCCACGGTACATGTATTTTCGGCCGCTATTGCATAGTATCGGTAGAGGCAGTAACTAAAAAGTAATGTAGACACACGTAGTGTACACCATTGGGCACTTGAGCTTACAATTTTTGGGTGCGACAGCTGATACCGTTATCAATGAATGTTCTGGTAGTTTCGTAGGCGCTTGGTTTGCCTCGTCACCTTCTGCTCTTTAGCGAATTTAAGGTTACATCTTTACGGATCAGCACTCGAATTACTGAAACTTTTAATAACAAAAGTCTCTCCCCTTTTGCGCGATGCTTACTTAATTCTTGCANCGATTGTCTTACTGACAGCGCTCGATTGCAGCCTTATAAACCTTTTTTTCAATTGAATCCTTTGTTGAGTGGTTTCAAATGACATCCATTGTTTTAGAGCTCTGGCACGGCGAGTGGCATTGAAGAACATTCAAATGAACCGGTTCAAGTCGATTCATCGTCAGACGATGAAGAGGCGTTGGAGGTAGTTGCGGGTGCTGGAAATCGGCAGGCAGGCCGAGCTCCTCCCGCTAGTCCTGAACCTTACGATAGAGGCGGATGACTACTGCGTTATATCCCGTGAGTTAGTTTTTTTGAGACAATTTTTTGAGTTTTCTTGTTCTTTTGCTTTTAGCGCCTTCTCATGCTTGATTCATCAGACTCTTGTGTTAAGTATGCTCCTTGTACCCTGTCTGCGCGCTGCAAAGCGAGATTAACGAGTGCTAATTAGCTACTTTTTGGTTTCGAGCTTCTGTTAGAGAGGTCTTCAATGTTTTTAAACAGCTAGTGTGCCATTGATGTAGGAATCACCTGTCGTCCCGTTGTCAAGGTAAGACCATCGCGCTGACGCTTCGGGTGCTCGTTTGATCCCGAGGGATCTAGTCGGCAACCGCCCTTGTAAAACAAAATCGACGTAGGAATAGATAAACTATAAGCGATAATAACGATGTTGATGCTTTCTGCTCTGTAAATGGAAATGAATAAAAAGTTTTTGGCAGCAAATGAGCCGAGGTTTGATCTAGGGACTGTGTATGTTGTAGCGGCATCACTTGTCACTTGCCTTCCATCCTCTGGCTTGGGTTACTCACTGAAAGTTCTTCTCCATTGAGTGGTTTAGTTATATTTTTTAAATTGCCTATTATTTAGATGGTGGTGTCGATTCATATTTTTGCGTTGCTCACGCGATATGGTTGGCGGTGTCATTTCTGCCCCATGATCTGCGTCCACATGTTTGTTATAATGCTTTTCGTTTTGATTGTATAGTTAATTCTACGGATGAGGAGACATATTTGTGAAGTTGGGGGAAAATGTGATGTTATACCTCTGCACATGAATATGAGCCTCTAAATTCCGCTACTCTCGGTGTTCGGTGAAGTTTTCCTTTATCTTTTATTCTTATCATTTTATCAAGTTACTTTCTGTTTCGAAGTCATTCATCACGTCTTTGATGTCTTGATACACCAGAACATTGAAATGTTCCATTCTAATATAATGGCATGTTTACCTTAGTAAACAGAAGCTTCTAGAACATAATGAAGAATCAGAATTTCCGCCCAAAACTGCACTTTGTTAATGTCTATTTACAATTTTATATGATGATAGGTTACTATTTCCATCTCTATTTTTTCTTGTAACATTTCAGTATCTGATACCCTGCAAAGTTTTTATTTGTCTTACTTATCATCAACAGATTTGTTAGTAGTTTTATTTACATGTAATATCGTTTTTCCATGTACATGTCTTCCTGTAGTACCAGTTTGTAAGTATCTGTCCCATACCTTATAACAATGAAGAAGAAGTTCTGTTTTCAATAGTTCATTCTTTTTTTCTTTCCTTGTGGTAATTCTTTTGTACTATTTCATTCTTGTATATCCCATTGTTTTTTTTTCCTATTTGGATGATGGAAGCTCTGGTTTTTCTTATCCTTACTATTTTTTTCGTGTTACTGGGTGCTCTGTTCTGCTCCCAGTATATGTTGTCACAGAACGATGCCAAAAATAATATTTTCCTATCATTCTTTTATTTTACTAGCCACCTAAGAGCCTAATCAACATCGAAACTATCAGCGCAGACAAAAAAGTTTTAGGTTAATCATATGCCATCATTAAATTTAATTAATCGTGTTAATAATTTCAATGGTAAGTTGTAAGTGTCATTAAGCTGTGACCCACCCGCAACACTTAATGCCGTAAATGAAACACGAAAAGGAGTAACGGACCGATTCTATAGCGCAGTTCTTGAACAAGTAAATGCAATCTCATTGAACCCGACCCTCATCGGACAGTATTAATAATGTAGAACGACACTTGGTAGTTCTGACAGCGTATATAGTCACCTACCTATAATTTTACATTAAGCTCACGCTCGCAGGGGTCTTTACAGGAGGTACTAGCCTTCTTTAGAAGATGGCAGGAAACGGGACTAGCGTTAAAGGTGCGTCTTCTATTGGGTAATACTGTTGCATTGTAATGTAAGAGAAAAATGTCAAAGGCGCATTTTCGTCAATGCCAGGTCCCCAAAAATTAATAGGAGGGACGAGTGCCTAGCCGTAGCTAGTTAACTCGCCCCTTCTTCTGACCTCTGCGGGTTTTAAACGCCTCCGGTATCATCGAAAGCTACCCCCAAGTCCCTGTAGGTCACTTATCAAGTTATAGGTTGTACGGGCTTATACCTGATGTGTAGCGGATCTAGGAACACTTCTGTATGGAAGAGTATGTATTTATATATGTTTATTATACAAGTAAATAACAAGAGAGGACATAAGGGAGAAGACAGGACGAGTGGGCAGGTGATAGCCTAGCCAAAGGGTCGTAGTTAGCCTGGAGGCTAAGGGGACATCCGAGATCTCGACTCCATGAGGAGGTTCCTTTTATACCATGGTTTCTACCTAGTATTATGAAACAGTAACAGGTGGCATGACGTGGTGTGTCGGCTTAGTTGATGAAGCCCTGGCGGCTGTCTCGAGCTTGGGCATGACCCAGCATAGCTGACCTATGACTCGACATCTCCATTCCCCATAGAAAGCTCGTCCTCGAGCTCTGAGGACCGATCCGTGTGATGTTATGCATTTGGTGAGAGATGTGATGTGCGGAAATAGAGGAAATTATGAGTCAGCAAAAAATTGCGATAAAATTGAACTGCCAAACGAGACAAGGTGTTGATACAGGATACAGGCTCCCCTCACAAAAGGGCTAAAAAGCCAGTGCACCACTCGTTCGAGAAAAAAACTCGTCCTCGAGTTTGAATAATGAGAATTACGTGGTGATGAATACAGGTGCGGAGGAAATGTATTAGGTTGATGCATAATTATTGCGGATTTTTTCGCGGCTTTTTTTCTCTCGATCGAATTTGAATATTTAGTTCGGGTTTCCCCTAGAAATGATCTACTTGATTTCCTCTACAAGAANGGACGAGTGGACAGGTGATAGCCTAGCCAAAGGGTCGTAGTTAGCCTGGAGGCTAAGGGGACATCCGAGATCTCGACTC